CAGCTGGGTGAGGTTCAGCAGGGTCTGGGCACCTCAGCCATCCCAACCCGGCCCGGAAAACCTACAGGTGTCTTGGTCCTTAGTCAACCGTGTAAGCCCGGAAACACTGGTTCAAAACAGCCAAGGCGGATACTCTTCCTTCTACCAGGGTCGCGGAGGTCTCTCTTCTCCCTTTGAAGGATTATTGCTTCTTCCCAGAGGGCCTCAGACCCGGCCAAACTCGCCAACCACGTGTAGCTGCTGACAAGCTGGCCTTGATTCCTGGAAATCCGCCCGCCTCTGCCTCCAGTGCTGGGATCGACGGCGGAGAGCCTGTCCTTTGTTACCGGGCAACCTCCCAGGAGTGGCTTAGATTCTCGGAGCATCAGTCGTGTCTTTGTCATAGCGTTCACGCTGCAAAAAAAAAACAAAAAACAAAAAAACAAAAAAACAAAAACCACAAATCATTTAGTTGAAGCTAAAGAATGTGCAGTCGGCGGCTCACGGTTCAGGCATTTGTAACAGTTTTTCACACATCTGTAGTTGTGGGACCACGTGGCCTAATGGATAAGGCGTCTGACTTCGGATCAGAAGATTGAGGGTTCGAATCCCTTCGTGGTTGGTTTTTTTTTCTCCCACCCCCTCCATCCCGCTTCAAATTCTAACAGTCTTCGTAGCGTCTGCCCCACGCAACGTGGGGTGTGCGCGTGGTCCCCAAGTTCTGGAATAAACCCTAGTCCAGACAACCGCTGGGGCGGCCGCAGAGCTGGTGTGTGGCGTGGTCACGAACCTGTGTCTCATCTTGGTCCCTGAAGTGTTAGCGTTGGGGTTGCCGTGACGCCCACCCTCTATGTGCTGGGTGGATGCGGCGGAGGAGAACCCGAAATATCAGAGGAATCAGAAGAGCGACGTTTAAAACTGTGAGAAGATGGGTGCGAGGCAGACAAGAGGCTTCTGCAAAAGGACACCCATCCCAACAGACGATTTCGAATAGAGGAAACGAACGCATTATTAGAACAATATGGTTTTACAGGGACCTGCTGGCACACTGCTCTCAAACTCTATATACAGCCAAGGATGACCTTGAACTTCTGATCTTCCTGCCTCCACCTGGAGGTTACAGGTGCATACCATACACCAATCATTAATCAAGAAAATGTCTTGAATACATACCCACAGGCCAATCTGGTGGAGGCATTTTCTATTTTTCTTTAATACGTTTTTAATTAAAATAGAGTTATATTGGTTTCCCCCACTTTCCACCCTCCAGCCCTTCTCAGCTACTTTTTTTTTTTTAAACCTTTCCCGTGCCCCCACCTCCACATTCAAGCTGATATCCTTTTTTTCTTTGATTATTGTGACATATACTCTTTGGCCATTATTGTTACACACATTTGTGTGTATACACAGATGTATATAAATATGACATCCTAAGTCCGGCTTTGTTGATGTGCATATAGTGAGTTTCAAGACTGACCGCTCTGTGTGGACAGTGAATAAGAGGGTTTATCCCCAGGAGAGGCTAATTCGCCTTCTCCCAGCAGTCATGAGTTGCCTACTGATCTTTGTCTAGGAGCGAGACCCCATCTTTTATCTCCTTCCGTGTTAACATGTCCTGTTTCTAGGAGAGACTTTCACAGCAGACTTCCTGGTCTTCTGGCTCTTACAACCTTTCCTCTTCCTCTTCAGTGATGTTCCCTGAGCCGTAGGTGCAGGAGCTATAGGAGATAGAGTTGCAGCAGTTAGGACGGGCTCCCACGATCTGCTGATATCAAAATCAGTCATCTCAAGCCTTCCCTCTCAACACTGGGGTCCCAGAGTCCCCAGACCTTGGTTTTTACTACGGCTTACTTAAATTCAGCATTCAAATTCTCGAAACAGTATTTGAAATAATTTTGATTTAAAAAAAAAAAATTCACACAGGCTGAACAAAAGGTGGAGGCGTCAGGCAGGCGCATGCAAACCGGACGTCTGTCACTGCAAGGTTTGGTCCACTCCTGGGAAACCGAAGGCCACGGTGGCCTGTCTACGTGGTCCTCACTCTGCAGCCACCAGCACATAGCTGGCTTCTGCAGGACAGGCAGCCTCTGGCCTCTCCACACACTCTCACGAGGGTGTCACCCAATACTGCCAAAATTACTTTAAAACATTAAAAAAGGAAACATTTTCTCAGGGGAAAAAAAAAAAAAAACCTCTTAGATTCTCACCACCCAATACTACCACTATTGAATATCATTATCACTAACAGAAGTTAAAAAAAACAAAAACAAAAACAAAAAAACCATAGCTAAAGTAAATGCGGAGAGACAGTAAAATAATTATTTTTGGACTTTCTAAAATTTCAGTTTTCTTTTTAGGCGTCCTCACAGTAGCCCAGGCTATCCCTGAATTTATTTTGCAGCACAAACTGGTCTCAAACTCTCAGCAATGCTCCTTTCTCAGAGTCCCAGTTTCTGGGACTACTGCCATGAGCCAGCAGGGCTACATCCGTGATTTTTTTCATTTCACGGTTTGCTTTTTTTTTTTTTTTTTTTCCTATGTGCTCCTGCAGTTCATAGAGGAGGTAGATGTTGGGGTGGGCATGGCCTGGGTGGTAGCTGGGTCGGTCAGCACACCAGCTGTCCTGCACCAGGCCCCCAGGGCCAGCTCTCTCTTTGCCCAGGCGAAGGATGGGGCTAGAGCCTCCTGACTTCTGCTCTCCCACATCAGCCCTGGCTCTTCTCTCCCTGTTCCTGTGAGAGGCTTTCTAACAGTGTTCTAGGGTCTTAGCCAGTGAGCAAACCTGCGTCCTCGGACATCATTTGAAGGGAGCTCCCAGTCAGTGTCTCCATCTGGCATAGAGAAGCAGTCTAAATTTGATATTTGACTTAGTTTTCTTGTGCCGCTGAGCAGCAGAACGTGAGAGATGCTGTTGCTATAGTTTAATCCCTCTCTCTCTCCATCCCTCCTTATCTCCCCCCCCCCAGTTTTGAGACAGGTTCACATCATGTTTGCTGACCTCGACTGGGTGACTCTCCTGTCTCAGCCTTGTCAATGCTGGCGTCATAAATGTGCAGCACCATATGGTGTTTTTGTTTGTTTGTTTGTTTTTGTCTGTGTAGAACCTTGGCTGTCCTGGACTCACTTTTGTAGACCAGGCTGGACTCAGACTCACAGAGATCCACCTGCCTCTGCTCCCAGGTGCTGGGATTAAAGGCATGTGCCACCACTGCCCAGCTCACATTCAGCTTTTATTTCACGATGTGTCACCAGATGGTTCACCGGCTCTCTCTAAACTGTGGATTTCCTTCAGCAATGATGAGCATTCTGTCATCACCCACAGCTTTCAGGACCAGTGCATTACTAGTTTGTGTCCCTCCGTGGCAAGCTGTGCCACTCAGATTGGAGGGAAGTCTCAATTTATTTCCTAACCAGGTGGTGGGTAATTCAGCCTTTAAAAAGTGACATCAGCATTTCTCCCTTAGATATGCATTTCTCCCTGTGTTGATAATTGCACATTGGAGTTCCCAGAAAGAAGACTGTGAAATGGAGAATTTAATTCACTCTGACTATTGGATTACTGGGTAGTGTGGCTTAGTGCCTATAGCATCTGCCTATCACTTGCCCAGCAAGTTCCAGTTTGGCGCCCAGAATTTCAAGAAAAAAATTTTTTACTAGGACATTAGTGAATTGTCAACATCTAGGCTTGGGGTTCCAGTTGATATGTCTATTGTGAATTTGATGCTCATTCTAAATGACAACTAGAACACACAGCAAGTTAGAGGGGTGGGCTTTACTAGAGACAAGGACTGCCCTGCAGGGCAAGGACAAAAGAGGACCAGCCAACTCCCCAGACATCCCTGGAGCTTTCTTAGCTAAACACATGCAGCAAACTCCACCCCAGGCAATTCCTAAAGACAGGTTCCAGCCCTGAGACATCAGGTGAAAAATTTCCAAACATCTGGGAGGATAAACACTGTCTCTGAGGAGGTTCGTAATCTGGATGTCACTTGGAGTGTGAGCAGGAAGAGAGACTTAAACATAAGCATTGATTACGAATGAGCCACAGAGGTCTTAAATGCTTCAGATAACATTTTATTAGAAACTATATGTCTAGTTCTGAAGTTGAGGATCCCCAGGTTCCCAGGTTGGAGCGGGAGATCCTGTCTTCAGAAGCACTAGATGAACCAGTAAAGATCGCACAGGAAGGAGCACTTTTGTAGAATCAGAGACGAATCCTGGATCCTGGCAGCAGGGAGCCGCCTCCTGTGTGAGTCAGTCTGCCCCCAGTTTCCCCCAGATGAGCCAAGGCAGAAGGGCAGATGAGATGGTGTCAGATGAAGACTGGATCAGAAGGACTCACATTTACATTACAACACATTTGTCTCAGGAGACACAAAGCTTAGGAGGAGGAACCTAGATTGTCTCACCATCTTCCATGGCTATCTCTACATCTGAAGTCTCGAAAGAAAAGGGGTGAGAATGGCCAAGGGTATTCTTCCTCCAGATACAATGTAGCTATTCTCCTATCCCTTGATGCGTTTGAGTGGTTCCGTATGGTCATGTTGATGAATTTTTGTTTTTGTTTTTTGACACAAGATCTCTTGTAGCTCAGGATGACCTGGAATTCATGTTCCTTCCATTTCTGCCTGTCTGTATGTCTGCTGAGTGCTGGCATTATACGTGAGTACTAATACACCCAGGCAAATCTGTAACTGGGGCCTCTGGATTTACATTTTTTCTTTCTTTTCTTTTCTCTTCTTTTCTTTTCTTTTCTTTTCTTTCCTTTCCTTTCCTTTCCTTTCCTTTCCTTTCCTTTCCTTTCTTTTCCTTTTTTTTTTTTCCAACTCATACATCTTACAAGGAAAAATGTACGCAGCTTACCTGACAAAAATCTACTTCGTGCAGGAAGGATCTTAGGCAACTTAGGGGTGATATGGGCAGGTAGAGTCCATTTAAGTAAAGAGTATGTTGAGAAGATGGAGTTTTCCCCAGAATGGTCTTTGAGAGAGAAGGAGGAAGGACTCTGAAGCTTAGCCTTCCTATATCATCTTGAGTTGATTCAGGTACGCCACGATGTCCGCCTTGACAGTGCTCACAGGAGCCTGGTGGTGCCAGCGCATGATAGGGACTCCGTTGGGTCCCACCAGGAATTTCTCAAAGTTCCAGCGGATGTCGTGGACTTTGATTGGCTCCCAGTAGACATGCTTGCTTACGGCCACGGTCTCTGAGGGGTGAGGACAGGAGTGCTGCAGCAGAGAAGGAGAGAAAAGAAAACATTATTTCTGTGCCTAGATGATATGGTGTCATCACTCACAGCCCCTTCCCCTGAAACCCAAACATTTTAGCCTCCTGTAGTTCCCACTAAACCCTATAAATTCTGCTAATCACCGTCATGCCGATCACCAAGAATGTCCTGATGTCACAGCCTAAGTGCATTCCCTCTTTCTGTCCCTCACTAGGGCTCCATCACATTCACAGTGCATAGCTTAAGGTGTATTTATTGCCTTTCAGGCTCTTTCATTTCTTGTTCTTATTGTTTCTCTTATGAGACAGGGTCTCATGTAACACATGCTGGCCTGAAACTCAGTGTGTACCTGAAGACGACCGTGAATTCCTGATCCTCATGTCTCTACCTCCCAAGTGCTGGAATCACAGACGAATAGGACTGTTTAGACTCATGTTCCTTTTCTGAAAAGTGAGTGACTTGGACTATAATGTTATTTCCAAGATCTAGGGTTCTATGGACCAATGGAATTTTTTTAAAAAAAGTACCTTTTGGGAACAATTTAGAGCTACTAAGATTTGATCAAAGAAGAAAAGCGACTAAACCACATTTTGCCACTTAATTTAAAAAAGATCACTGTAAGAATAACTTACGTGTGGCCCATGACCTTCAAATAAATGGTATTCTTAAAAATTAGATGGATGGAATTTATGAAGCCCTACTCACACTGTTCTGTTTCATTAATTCACCACGTTGCTGCAGTTGTAGAGCTCTGACTTCTCTATGTTGTTACTATGTAGCCTCCCATACAGATGGCAGGCATTCATCAAAAAAATACCTTAGCTGAATGAAGGAATGAATGTCAATAAGCAACAGGCCAGGTAAAAGCTGCTGTTGTTGCACACAGCTGTCTGTTCCTCACAAAGCCAGAGTCCCAAGAATGCTAAGAGACTAGCCCACATCCCTATGCTAAGCAGGAGATTTCATCCAGAGAGACTAACCCCACATCCAGAAATGAGTCCTTGGGTCTTTTTCTCCCATAACCAACCTATGGAAAATTTAAGCCCTCGGTGATGCTAGGAAGATTGGGGGAAAGGAATTGTATATACGCAAGCAATTCACTTACCTTCAAAAAGGTGAAGATTCTCTGTTCTTTTTCGCCATTTACATCCCCTTTTGTAAAGAGCTGGAAATTGGGTACAAATCCTTTTCCTGGACGAACATACCTACAACAAGCCAAAGGTTGGAATATGAGGATGAAAGGTAGGACAGTGAGAAGAATCCAGAGGAAGGGCAGAAAGAGACAGAGAGGAGGCAGGGTATGTTTTTCGGAGGACACAAAGGCCTGTTCTGTATATTGGTCTTCCTGTTTCACTTCATTTTTCTGTCTTGGGAGAAGCTCATTTCCAATTTCGCCACCATCCATCTGGGTTTCAGTCAGGAGTGAAGAAAGACTCTGAGGACCTCATCAGACTCTCATCAATTAAAATCTGCTCACAGGTGCCCCAAACCTATGAATCACCACCTCCCTGGCAGTTTAGAGGGCCTGAAGGGCCTCTGAGACAGGAAAGGCAGCAAGACCTCTTACTGGGCTTTAGGCCGGTACTTACTTGAGCCCAGAAAGAATCTCTGCATTTTCTCCTGGCTCTTGCTTTCCAAACTGGTTGCAGGGAAAGCCCAGCACAACAAAGCCTAATGGCTTCAAGTCCTCCTGGAGAGCATTCAGTTCTGTGGTTAGAAAAGAGACAACATCATGGCCTGGCCTGGAGGATTACTTGGGTCTGTTTCTACCACAACCAGCACATGGAAATATATATAGCCCAGGCTGATGGGAGCAAGAGCTCTTGGGTTAGTGATTACAGGGAAGGAAACAGAAGGAGAAAACCATCTGTAGATCAGATGGACTGGATGTCACAGCCGAAGTTAGGCATGCATTCAGAGCCCCTTACTATGGTGCAGCATTTCTCAAACTCACAATCACACCCCGTTCTTTCACAAACAGGGATTCCCGGGCCCCATTTCCAAATCCAATCCCTGAGATGGAGCCCAGCCATTGTCATTATTCAAAATCCAGACGATATTTAAACAAAGCTAGCTAGGAATAGCACAGCTCATCATCCAGATGTCCTTGTTGGCTGACTGATAAACTGGATCTTCCTTTTTCTAAAGGAATAGGTAGAGATGGGAAGTGAGGTTCTCTTCTGGGTACAGGCTAGCTCATGCTGAGCAGTGCAGACAAACTTGACAGGTAGCAGAAGCCAAGAGCTTTAAGCTGAACTTCCTGGGGAAGTAAAAAATGGATATTGCTTATTAAAAAAATAAAGTCCTCAAGATTGAACTAAAGCACAAACTCCAGTGCTCCCATCCACTGCCATGAAGTGTCCCAACTGCCCTGCTCAGGCCTGGATGGTTGTTTTCTTTGTTAACCATTTCTGGGCTCTGTGCCTTTACTCTGTTGACAAATATGAACCTGTCAAATATGACGATTCAGCTTGGCCAATTGGCATCTCTCAAAAGCCAGTTAGAGATTGCTGCCCGGCATGGTGGTTCACGCCTTTAATCCCAGCACTTGGGAGGCAGAGGCAGGTGGATCTTTGTGAGTTTGTAGGCAAGCCTTTTCTACAAAGTGAGTCAAAATTAGAGATTGCCCCCCTATTTCCACATGCTTTCCTCTCTTCCTCCTCAACCCCTGTTGTCTTTACCAGATAATCCCACTCTCCAGGAAAGAAACAATAAATTAGGAAGCCTGCTTTCAAGCTTTTTAGAAACTCTTCTCCGGGTTTACTCATCTGTTACATGCCAAGGAGAAATTAAGTAATTTTTTTTTTTCTTTTTGAGATACAATTACCTGTTATCCCAGGCTGGCCTCAGGCTCATGACCTTTCTTCCTCAGCCTTTGAAGTATAGGAATCAACAGTTATGGCTCATCATGCCAGGATATAATTCATTTTTAAGCTCCCTATAAACTGATAAGATGAATTATGGTCCAATCAAAAAAAAGAGTGAGGACTTGGACTGACTTCAAGCATATTAGCTTAGGTGATGTCAAATAGTGTTTACTATATTAACAACTCTCACAGATGAGATAGCATTCTCAGAGAGGCAAAAAGAATGGGCAGGGTTTTTCACTCCATGTTTCTTTCGTTCCTTTGACTTTTGAGCCATGTGCGTACAACACTTCTGCAAAGCACACTGCAAACCATAATAATCCACAAGAAGGCCTTATTAGTTTCAAACAGCCAGGACCCTTCTCCATTAGCTTCTATGCTGGCCATCTGCTACACTAGGGAAAAAGCCCTTGTACCCCATTTATGATCACTGTAACTTTCCATGGAAAAGTCTCAGAAACATGGATCTTCTCTCCTGTATTTGCCAGAACACTTCTGGAATTTTCAGGTTCATTCAGATATTGCCAAATCCACTGATATATATATATTGATTTCAGTGGAAATCTCAAACCAGATACCAAGAAAAGGGCCTACAGATTTGTCTTCCCCTGTAAAGAGCTGAGTGGTGTTACAGGCTTTGAAGATCACATTCTGTTTATCACTAATATCCACACAACTACTGGCCTCTGCCTTAGGATGTGAAAGCAGCCATAGATGAGTTTATGCTGCGCTTCAATAAGATCCTTTAAAGAAAATAAACTGTCAAAGTTTGACATGTGGGCTGTCGCTTGCTGATTTAAGACCTCAGAGAATGAAATAAATGGCTATGACACAGACTTAGAATGGAATTCTCAGTGTAGCTTAGAATATAGTCAGCTGGAAAAAGCAATCCATCATAAAGTCATATGGCTCTGAATTCTTACCAGGATACTGAACTGTCAGCCCACAGTAGGTGGCCACGTTGACAAAGAGGACATGCTTGCCTGCATACTGCTTGAACTGAATGCGTTCCTTCCCAAGAGAGAAAGCCTCGTAGTCATAGATAGTGCCTTTCACATCCTTGTAGCAATTCATCTGGAAGAATTTTGGAAGCTTTGTTACGAGCGACAAAAGTGCCCCATGTCTGTTTGATCATTCAGAGCATGAGTGAACAGTGAAGGGGTTAACCAGGACTCAGAAAACAAATACGAGTGGCAAGTAGGTGGTCACGTGGAGAACAGACCAGGCCATGTGTAGATGAATCTAACCGAAAGGAACTAAAAGTAAATGGCATCAGTGAGAAAAGAATCCTGGTTTTTGTTGAGAATGAGGCTTCGAACAGCCGGGGATTAAAGGCACACTGCCTGGTTGTTCTCCAAGTGAGCCAGATTTTCATTGCTTGAATGCTTCAAGATGGCCTAGTTACTCCTCTTTCCCTAGGTCTTCTGGCTTCTTACCCCACTTGGGAACACAATAGAATGGGAAGATCTCCAGCCTGGAGTATGATCTACCATTCAGCGTGTCTGTGTATCTGGGATGCCCTTATCCCTGGGCCTCACAACTCCTCTCTCCCAAAGTAAAGCAGAACAAAGAAGTTTGCAGGTTTGTCGCTCTAGAATCTAATATAGTTTTCTTAGTGGATTTCTCTCTTCTATCACTCTCTTACACACATGGCTGTCTTATATGCCAACACTGTGAAAACAAACTGTGCGTGTGCCAAGAAAGGATGTGGAGAGCCCTAAAGTCTATCTAATATTGTGACAGACTAGCCAGTCATATCTGAAGATATTTGAGCAGATTCCCACATATCAGAAATCAGTTCGGCGTGAAATTCTCATTGCACATCCTCATGTTAAATTTCTCTCTAAGGTAGCTCTTGGTTTTCATATCTGTCTCTGCCTTGGCTGGGTCCCTGCAGTGAGAAGGTCAATGATGCACACCAGCAGCGCCAGGTCTACTCTGTGCTGGAGGCGGACAGCTATAAATTGCTCATGGAAGATAAGGAGGGTAAAACACAGGAAAGGAAAGACACGAGGCTAAGCCACCCACTGAGAAAATGACCACTAAGCTGGCTAGAAAAAAAAAAAATCAAAACAGGCTTTCCTTATGAGTCAGTGAAGGTCCAGACTTAGACAAGGATTCAACCAGACTTCCTAGAAACGCAGTGGACTGGGAAGGAGAGAGTCAGCCCGTCTGCTTCCACACAGAGAAGGAGCATGCAAGACGGAAACCCAGTGCTCCCAACCCTGTACAACTGATGGTTCTATCATTAGCACCATCCCTTTTTGGGGGAAGTGGGTCCATCTTAGAGAGACTCTGAACTTGAAGACACATCTTATCTCTCTGGGTGAGAGAGGGTTTGAGGCAGGGTCTCATTTTATCCAGGCCAGGCTGGTCTTCAAGCTCAGTGCAGTACGCCGGCTTCAGCTCCTTGAGTGCCAAGTTCGAGGCAGCAGCCACCATGCTCAGCTATTCCAGTTCATTTTTTCTTCTAAAAACTATATTTATTTATTTCATGTGTGCGTGTGCATACGTGTGTGCACGCATGTGCACAAGAGTATGTCTGCAGGAACAAGCAGAGGCCAGAAGAGGCAGTTTTAGGTAGGCGGCCGTGTAGCGGCCATGAAGGTGCTGGGAACTGAACCCTTCTCCTCTGCAGGAGCGGTAAGCACTCTTAACTGCCAAGCCATCTCACCAGCCCCTCCAGTTTTTTTTGATGTTGACTGTTCTGCTCTTCCAAATGTTTCTAAGTCTGAATGTTAGGTCTCCAAGCCTCCAGATCGGGTTTTATTTAAACTCTGAGTTCCCATGTCCAATGAGGCAGCTCTAGGTAATGTAAAAATCCTATCTCACCCAGCGAGTCTTCTTGTTAGTTTCAGGGCAAGATAACGTCTTCCCCAAGCTGCCTTTTGTGGACCAAATTATGTGCATAGTAAATTTTGCTCTTATGTCCCACTGTGTGAGTGAATGTTTGATTGCTTCTAATGTCCCCTCTCAAGTGTTGTGTCCTCCTGTGGACTGCCCCTTCTACTGCCCCGCAGAGACTGTTGACTAGGCAGCGGGCCTCCAAATCAAGAACGAGATTCTCAGACACCCAGTGCTCCAAATCTAATTGCTTTAGGACTCTGGTGTGCAACTCCGCACCTGCTTATGAAAGTGAAGGTCAGTCAAGAAGAAAAGAAAGGTTTGGGGTGAGCACTGGAAGACAGGAATGGCTGGAGGAGGCGCTCTCAGAGCAGAGCCCAAGAGTGACCTTGTTCAGCCCACCGTGCTCTCTATGGACCTTACTCACCCTCATCTTCTCCGGCTTGGTGATTGTCTGCACATAGCTGGCTAGAAGAAGTGGAACAAGATAGAGGACTCTTAACTGTGTACTCATGACTAGCATTGTAGATCGCTGGTCTGAGGGCCTGAGGTCTTCGTTTATCTCCCCGGTTTTTTGACACCTTCACAATGACCAGCCCACACCTGTTAAGACCAATCACAGGGCAGCAAGAGTCATATCCTTGCCTACACACGCCCCCGTGAGCACTCAGAATTCAATAATGTGGCAAGAGTCTGGAACTCATATAAGTTCTGACAGAATTATCAGAAAGTTGTGCTAAGCCCTTGTAGATACTGGAAACATTGGTTTTCCTGGGTGGATGTAAATACTGGGATAAAGTCAAACTTCCTTGCAAAACATTTGACACGGATGTTCTAAACATTGCTTTTAGAGCCCACAGTGTGTAACCCAACCGTACTGCTGCGTGTGTCGTATGCTTACGGCTCTGGGTTCAGTGCATAAAAATGATAACCAATCAAGGACTTCACCTAACATTATTATTTTAGCTCTTAAGAAAACCAGTTATTTACCACACTGTTATACTGTTGGTTGGGCAGCAGCAGAAATACTGCCTGTTATTTTAGCTTAAAACAAAACAAAACAAAACAAAACAAAACAAAACAAAACAAAACAAAAACCGAAAGGATAAAAGTTGGAGAAATGGCTCAGTGCCAACAGTACATGCTTGTCTTGAGAGGGACTTGAGTTTGGTTCCCATCACCCACATTTGGTGGCTCAGCAAGTCCAGCTTTAGGGGATCTCAGGCCTTCTTCTAGCCTACAGGCATAACGGTATCCTCATGCACATATGTACAGACAGCTCATATGTACACATACATACACATAAATAAGTAAGGCAAAATCTCAAACAAAAAAACAAACAAAAAACCCTAAAGTATAGACTTGCCTAGGATCTATTCAAGAGAGCTTGGGGGCGGGGGGAGCGGAGGAAAGGAATCGGAAATAAACCACAGCACATTGATATGCTCATTATAGAAACACTCTCAAGGATTTACAAATCAGTGATTTTTAGAAAAAAATTCTGATCAAGAGAGAAATGGGCACAACCCAGGAAACTCAGTGGTATCTGTGGCAGGATACAATGTTCTCCCTCAACATTAACCAAAGAATTATGAATAAGAGATGCCTGTGTTTATCAGATTGGCAGAAGTTAAAAGGAATGGTGGGACCCAGCCTGCATGTATTCTGGCATGGGGTGATCTCATATTCTAGGGTGGGTGATGGGAAAACCTGACATTGTTAATTTTGGGGGTGGCTACTCTGAATGCAAAACTTTCTACTTCTGGAACTTGTTAATTTCAGGGGGTTGTTTAAAAAATTAGCATAGAAGGTAATGGGTTTCAGGATCATATTCAGGATGCATATTTTGTTTTTGTTGATTCTCGCTCCTGTTTCCTGCCCCTCCCATCTGCTTCCTGCCTTCAATAGTCCCCATTCCACTTTTATGACACCCGTACTGTTGCTCTCCTTTAATCTCTCCCACATTTTCTTAAGACTCGCTTCCCCCCTTTTGTGGTCTCCTTTCTAGTGTCCTGACCTATATATTAACCCTTCATGCACATATGTGCATATATGTGTGTGTGTATAGAATCTGTGTGAAAGAAAGAATATGGTATTTTTCTTTCTGAATCTGCGTTACTATGACTAACAGTTATTTTCTTTTTTCCAACATAATATTTGTATTGATTATTTGGGAATTTCACAATGTGCACCCGATCGTGCTCACTTCTCAGTCCTCCCATATCTATCTGTTCCCGCTCCCTTGTGACCATTTTGTACTGTCCCTGTACTCACTGGAGCATGATCAAGCTCCCAGTGGCCAACCCAGTAGGGAAAGCTGTGTCCTTCACCCCTATCACAACTTTTAGGAGTTCTCTTTATTTGACGGCTTCCTGTTTATGGAGCTGTTACTTTGCAGGGGGCTAGTGAGGAGAGAAGAGTTGTCACAGAAGCCTTCTATGTCCTTTCTTTCTCAAATCTGTGACCCTGGTCGTTGATACCACTGCAAGAGTGGCCTCCTTGCCCTTTAGTGAGCAGGAGCACTGCATGGTTTCTGACAACAGCCTGGACCACAAAGCATCCACACGGTCTCCGGCATCAACATGTGGCAAGGACCCCCATTTGGTCTCCGGAGGTGGCACTACAGCCTGTGGACAACCAACATGGCCCTCTGCCGAAGCACAGGCCACCGACCAGCATGGCCTCTGGGAGCAGTACTGACCGCGAAGATCCTTCGAGGAGGTGCAATTCTACAAATGGACCATACCTCGTCTGGAATATCAGAGCCAGGACAATCACGTGGCTGAACAGCTTGTTTGGGGGCTGAGTCCGTGCCAACTCCAGGCTGTTGCACTCCATCATGCAGACCCATTCCTCCATCAACCACAGCCTTCTCTCTCTCACACTCGTCATGGCTGTCACATATTTAGTTCTGCTCCTCTATCTGCCTTGTCTCTCCATCACATATTCACTGGCATTGGAAGCTGCAGTGTAGACCCTTTTGCCCAAACAGCTTTACATACAAACGATCATTGCAATGAGTGGTTGGGTAGTTGGTCTGGTTCAAGGCCTCTGACTTCCGATTCTTCTCACGTGGCGGGCTGTTGTGCAGAGTCATGGAGACCCTGCAGCTTTGGTTCTGCCTGACCATTCCCTTCATGTGCTCCAACAGCTCACATACGGAGTAGATGTTGGGGTGGACCAACTCCAAGCCTTGGCTCTGGGCCTGAGTGGTAGCTTATTCATTTTCCTTCTGCTATGGGATCCACTTAAACCCAACCCAACCCCAAAACTAGGCCAATGCAGATGACAAAAATTCATTGGTATCAAGCCACTACTGATGGATCAGGGCGGCAGAACAGACTGGGGAGCTGAACTGCAACCACCCTCCTCCCCAACTCCAAGCCAGATTGTTACAGAGTTTTTAAGCTTGAAAACCATAAACATCTGTGCAAAGCTATAGTTACATTTTCCCACCTATCAGGATTTAGGGAAAAAGGGGTTTCCTTACATGGTTGATCTATGTTAACTGATACAGAATGTAGGTTTTACAGTCCAACCAATCAAATCCATTTGTTCTTTTTTTTTTTTGTGGTTAGAAACAGTCATTATGTTTTGAGGAACAAAAGATGAGTAACTGTTTAGCTACTGAGAGCTAGAACTTAGTTTCAACCCTATGATTAAAATGGAGTCTAAAAACAAAATGGCAGTACTTAGGACAAGTTTCTTTTGCTTGCTCTTAACATTTCTGTCTCATGAATTTGTAGATTTGATCTTTTAATTGTATCCCAGATATCCTGCATGCTGTGGCTATGCTCATTCATTCTATGTTTTTTGGGTTTTTGATACAAAGTATCTCTGTAAGCCTTGGCCATTCTGGAACTCTCTCTGTAGACCAGGCTGGCCTCAAAGTCAGAGATATGCCTGCCTCTACCTCCTGTGTGTCTTCTTTTTAAAAATTAATTGTATGTACATTGATGGTCTGCTTGTATGTGTGTGAGGGTGTCAGATCCCCTATAACAGAGTTACAGATAGTTGTGAGCTGCCATGTGGGTACTTTGAAAGAGCAGCCACTACTCTTAACCATTGAACCATCTCTCCAGCCCCTTACTTTATTTCTTATGATGTTTAAATATAGCAGTTCATTGCATTGCCTTCCAGCCCTGATGTTCTTTCTTCTGATTGGTTGAATCAATTGGTGATGTTTTCCACTGTGGTTTTTGATTCATTGAGGGTTTGTTTGTTTTGTTTTGTTTTTATGTCCAGAATTTCTATTTGTTTGCGCTTTCCCCCAAATCTCAAATTTTTTTTTTGGTAAAATTTTCTTCCATGTTACTTCCATTTTTATACATAGTGTTGATTTTCTCATATGTTTTGCTTACTTTTCCTTCTGGGCTTCTTCCAGGCCTTCAGTTAAATTCATCTGGCTGTTTCTATTTTCTTTCAGGCAACTGACAATGTTACTGGTATACTCTGGAAATCTTTGTTCAGCACTTTGCTGCTTCAGTTTCTTTGAATTCAGTAGTTGCAGAATTATGGTTTTCTGCCACATTGCCTTACTAGTTCACATTTATTTTTGTTTCTCTGATGCAACTTGAATCTCTGTCAGTCTGGACTTAATCTTTGGTCTTATTCCGAGATCTTATTAGGCAGCATTTTGAACAGCTTTTGAACAGCTTAATCTCCAGGCCTGCCTTTGGAGGAGTCTTGATTCTGAAGAATTTTTACGTGCTCCATTCGAGAACTTTGCCATAGTACCTGAGCAGCTGCAGTGGCAGAGCTGTCTTGGTCGGCCTTCTGTGGGACACACTGCTTTCTGTCTAGTCCCTGCGGCTGATACTTGAGAGGCAAGGGCACAGACTTCTTCCTTTCATCCTGGATGTAGTAGAGATAGCAGTTAAAGCTTGGGAGCTCAAGGCCAGCCTAGGAAGCAACGCAGGCTCCCGGGGCAAACATTTCCGGAAGTGCGGCCTTTGGTTTCGCTCTGCCAGCATCACATCACTGTATTATTTAAAAAAAAAAAAAAAAAAAAAAAAAAAAAAACATATTTATCTCTAGTCCATGCCCACTTTCCTGCTTTTTAAGAGAGTAAAAGCACCAAGGAAACAGATACTACAGGCTGGAAAGACAACAAGATGACATTTGGTAAGAATGTTGCCTACGTTGACTTAGATGGTGAAAAGATATAAAAAAAAAGGGTGGAAGTTGATCAGCGCTAACTGTTCCAGATGCTTTAGAATTACAAGGAGGCAAATTCAGCAACTAGCCAGATTCCAATGAGATAACTAATGAAAGTTTAATGAAAAATATTAAATTTAACAGAAGACTCTCAGATTTTCCCTCTTTGCCACACCGCACTCTGGTTCCTTAGCCTATAGGATCGGCATCGCCAGCTCAGCTTCACAGGCCATGGGACCATGGTTACCAGGATGAGAAACAGTTCCGCTTCAACTCTAAATTGTCCTTCCAAACTGTCCCCTCTGCAGCCCTTCTCGCTCACGTTCACACCAAAGCAGTCACCTCCTATTCCAAGGG